CCGCTGCCACAGCCAGGGGCAGCGAAGCGGCCGCCGAGTTGGCCCCGAACGAGCACACTGGTGCGGCTGCTAGGCCCTAGGCTCTAGGCAAAGACGCCCCACGCGCAACCCATGGAGTACGCCCTGAGGCGAGCAGATCCTGCCCTCCCAGCAGCGGCGCCCCGACCGTTACGCCCCCATGCGCACATCACGGCCCCCGTCTCATGACCCCAGGAAATTCAGTTTCAGGAGATCGTGTGGGCGCGGCGGCTGGGGGCAGATCCGAATTCATGACAGCTGCCCACCCGAGGCTTGTGCGCGCTGCCCCGCCAGCGCGTGGGCAGCTCATCCCAGCGCTCGCGGCGTTGGCGGCCAGGGTGGCGCGTCGCGAAGCGGCGGCGGCGGCTGCTGCAGTGCCGCCGGCGCCCGAGGCGGCTCCCTCTGCGGCCACTCGCAAGCGGCGGGCGGCGGCCGCCACAGGGTCCGGGGGCCAGGCGGCCGAGGGGCCCGCGCACCGCTGGCGTTGATGGCGGGCTGTTGTGCTGAGCTGAGGTCGGAGCGCCGCGCCCGGCATGGGAGGGGCATGCCGGTGCACAGCGGCTCTTGGCGCGTGGGGCGCGCCGGCGCCACGAGGCCGAATCCGCAGGTTCACCAACGGCGTTCCCGCGCTCGGTCCGACTGCTCCGAGCGCCCGTCCTCCTCATCGCTCCTCCTTCTCTTGCTCCTGCTCCTCCACCTCCTGCTCATCCGCCTCCCTCCTGGGTTCAGCATGCTGCCTGACCGCATTGGGGTGTGTTTTTTTTGTCAGCAGCGAATCTTTTGACACGCGTTGTGACACAAACGCTGCGGTTTTGCCACGAAGTGCCTCAGGTCAACGATACCTGGGGCAATCGGGTGCGCAACATGTGCTTCTGCTTGCAAGGGCCTGTGGTAGAATTCTGGCCAGGCGCCGATGCAGCAGCAGGTTTCAAGCAGTGGCGAAACGTCCTGGCTCGCCTATAGGCCTACCAAACAATGCTGTGAGAACCTTTTGTGGTTTCCACGAATTGTTCTTAGAACATTTCTGGCTGGGACTGTCCTGTTTTGGCACATCGGTTTTATGTTCTAAGAAATTTGCTTCTCTTATAAGAACATTTCCGGGTTTTACACACTTTTCGTGGTAGGCCTATAGACATGCTGGGACGGTCGGTCCCTGCTCCAAGGTTGTGTTGTTCAGAAAATCCGTGTCTGCTTCTCTAAGGGGTAGGTGCTGCTGCTGCTGCTGCTTCTCCTGTCAGACCCAAGCAGCCGGCGAAATGGGTCCGATTCAGCAGCCAAGTGTTGCTTCTGCTACGCACGCCTCCTTCTCCACCAGGTCGGATGCATCGGCGGCGAAAGCCGAACCATACCTTCGCCAATCAACGGTTTATTCAATTTCATGGACAGCGGACGAAGGGTTCGTAATTCGCCGAGCACGTGGCGAAATCCAAACCCTGCCCCCGCCTCCCATCGGTTCAGGAAAATGGATGGTTGCTGGCGGCAGGGTTCGGATGTCGCCAGCTAAGGTTTCAATCGTGGCGGGGGAGGCGGAGGGGGGATAGAAAGGGAGAAATATGGAAAGAGAAGGAAGGGGGGAGGGAGAGGAAAGGGGGGGAGTGCCACGGAGGCGCGGGGGCGGGGGAGTAGTGGCAGGAAGAGGGTGAGTATCACCAAGTGCGCAGTCGGCTCAAAGGGCACCCAAACTCATACCTATATGACCACTCTTCGGGTGATAAGGAGGTTGTGGGACGGAGCTTGCCCCGCGCAGCGGCGTAATGTGAAAACATGAGTAGGTTTGCTCCTGTTGGTTGCACGGATGTAGACCTTCGTGCGGCAGGGAGGAGTTATTTTCGGACCAGGCGTAATTTCAGTGTCCGTGGCATTGCCACCTTGCTGGATCACCTCAACCATACAATGCTTGACTTTTTGCTCGGGAAAACAACCGATGACACAATCGATAGCCCAATTGATGTTATTATCGATGCCATTATCGACACGATTATCGATATCACTATCAATATCATTGTCGATTTCACGATCGATCTCATTATTCATCTCACCATCGAACCCTCCATCGACCTCACGGGACACCGCGGGACACCACGGGACACCGCGCCACGGGACACCACGGGCCACCGCAGGACGCCACGGGACATCACGGGACCATACGGGACACCATCGGGACACCACGGCGGGACACCCCTGGCCACCGCCGGCCAACCGGGGGGAGGGGCGTTTTTTTGGCCCGGCGGCGCCCTGACCAGAGGAGGGTTCGGTTCATTCCTCGTGCCCGCCCACGCAGCTTCGCCTCGCCCGCACGCGCGACACGAACACGAAACCGAAATCGGTTTCCCAGAGGGGGGCTCTCCGTTTCACTGTGAGCTCTTCAGTCCCAAACTTCCGATCTACCTATCAGCGTCATTACCAATCGGTGCTTGCGTCACCACCGCCGTCGCGGGCAAAGACAAGCCACCACCGCAACCACCGCAATCGCCAGTTCCACGATCGATCTATCGGCACGAGACAACGCGAGACACCACGGAACAGCATGCAAGGCCACAGTGAATCGCGAGACACCACGGGGCACCACGGACAAACCACTATTGATTCCATGATCGACCTCCATTTACCTATCGATCTCACTGTCTATCGACTTCACCGTCGATCTCACTATCGGTCGCACTCGATCGATCTCGCAATCGGTCTCCCTATCGACATCCATGTGCCACCACGGGACACCGCGGGACACCGCGCCACGGGACACCATGTGACACCATGGGACCCTGGCGGGCCCCCCTGGGCCACCGCCGGCCAACCAGGGGAAGGAGAGACATTGAGCCTGGTTTCGCTCTTGCCAGGGCGGGATCCTGCCCCTCCCACGCAGCTTCGCCTGGCCCGCACGCACGACACGAAACCGAAACCGATTTCCGGGTGGGGGGCTCTCCGTTTCACCACTGCGATCTCACCCCCCAACCTCCGATCTAGGGAGGGAGCGGGGGAGCGGCGCCCTCGCTCTCTTCGTCGTCGACCCCCGTCCCGATCCTCGCCCTCCATCGGTGGCGCCCCCTCCCTCCTGCCGGCACGCGCGCGCGCACGACCGAAGAGGACGCGGAGGACCAAAGGGGCGTACCGCCGGGCAGCGCCGTTCCGCGCCTCGCTCCTCCTCGCTCGTTGGCAGAGGTGAGCGCTCGACAGCGGCCGCTCCGTGCTGCATCCAGGAGGAGGGGGAGGGGGAGGGGGAGGAGGAGGAGGAGGAGGAGGAGGAGGAGGAGGAGGAGGAGGAGGAGGAGGAGGAGGAGGAGGAGGAGGAGGAGGAGGAGGAGGAGGAGGAGGAGAGGATGAGGAGGAGGAGGGGGAGGAGGAGGAGGCCTCGCGCCTGGGGGGGGGGGGGGGGGGGGGCGCTGCAGAACGAGCCATCAGGGGCTCGAGGTCGCCACTCGTTGCAGCCGGTCCGGCGAGCGGGCGAGGCGAACGAGGGCTCGCAGAGGGGGGCCCTGCAGGCGCAGGCCATCGCGGGCCCCGCGGGCGGCGGAGCGCCTTGTGGCCGGCGGGGGGCCCCTGGCGGCCCAGCACTGGCTCTGGCCAGCAGGGAGGAGGGGCGAGGTCCGGGGTGCCGGGTTCGGGATGCGTTTGTGCCTTGCGGCCTCCCTGGGCTGTTTTCGGGCGACCGTCGAACACGGATCCGGGGCGAAACACTGTAGCACAGACCCCGGGAGGGGTCCTCGGGCCGATTCGGAACGGATTTTTCTCCATCCTTCTTCCCGACCGATTCTCTGGTGTTCCACCCATCAGCCGTCGATTTTCTTGCCCCCAACCCTTCTGCACGAGAGATCTAGCCGCTCAGAAGAGCAAGGAAATTCGGGGATGCACCAGGAGGACCACTCGGACGCACCCCTATATCGAGGATGGGCGCCCATCTGTTATTCCACAGAAGACCCTGCGAAGTCGGGGAGATGGGTCGACATATCCTTCGTCCAGACCTCCAATGCATTGAATTCACGCACGTCGACTCTTTTCGTTGCCTGTTGCATCTGGGGGCCCCTGCCAGCCCTCGGGAGCGCCAGACAACGACTCGGGAGGAAGCGCCGGCCCCCAGGGGCCCCCGCGCCGTGCAGCCGTCACGACCTCGGCGGTCCGGGGAGGCTGCGGGCCCTCTCGGCGGGCCCGTTGGCCTTCCGAGCCGCCTCTCGCCCTCTCGGGCGGCCCGCGCTCCGACCGCCCTCCGACCGCCCTGCCCCCGTGGGCGCGCCGCCGATCCGCGTCCTCGTCTGGCGCCCCGCGGGTCTGCGCGGCCGGCCGGTGTCATCCTCCTCGGCCTCTCGAGGGTGGCCGCCGCCTGGCCCCCCGGGGGGCTGCCGGCAGAGCGGCTCGGGGGGAGAGCCCGGCCCCGTGGGAGGGGGTCGAAGCCCCAGGAGCCGACGCCACAAGGAATGCGACGTCGATGAAGAGGGTCTCCCTCTTCCATCTCCTCCTCCTCCTCCTCCTCCTTCTCCTCCTGAGGCGACGAGATCTATACATGATCGCCGCCCCTGACTGGGCCCATCCTGGGCCAGGATGGGCCTGGTGAGGCTCCTCCTTTTTCCTGCTCCCCGTGTGCAGGCGGGCACGGCTGAACGGTTAGGGAAGCTATGCGCCATTGAAGCCGCGAGTTCCATGACGTTTCCACAGTAGGGCAGGGGAGGGAAAAGAGGGGAGGGAGGAGGGCAGGGGTGACGAGACTGTCTTGTCCTGTCTGCTATGCCAGCTCGCCAGGCCCTTCGGCGGGTTCGATTTGGATCCCATCTACCCGATTCGATATCGATTCCGGCTGGCCCGAGATCTAATTCGATTTCGATGTTCCGATGATCCGATGTGGCCCGCTGCCTACATTGCGCTGTCGTGCATCCTGGCGCGGCCGATCCGATTCGTGTTCGACTCCGCGTCGATGCGGCCCAGCCCGACGCACATTCCGATTGGATGCTTTTTGATACCACATCGGGGAGGGACAGGGCCCGCGCCACCGTGAGGCATCATCGACGCTCTGAGCGATTTGCTCGAGAAGGCCGAGAAGCAGCTTGACGGGCTCCGCAAGGCGCGGATAGGGAAGAAAACCAGAACCCCACTAAGCATGTAGGGAAGAAACAACATGTCAGGGCGACTGGCACATCTGGAGACTTATGAGTAATTGGCAAAGACGAATGCATTCACGATGATCTCGCCTGAAGGAGGGCCCCTGGCAGAGTAGGTTGGAGCCCGTACGTAGTAGGAGGGCCCCCGGCAGAGTAGGTTGGAGCCCGTACGTAGTAGGTCTTGGAACCTATGAAACAGCGAGGAGCCACACATACATACTCTTTTTTTGTGGCTCCTGGCGGCGTCAACCTTTTACTTCCGCGGCGGTCGAGCCAGCGGGCGCGTCGCTTCGGCCCAGGCGGAGACCGCCAACGTCCAGAGCTTCGAGATGCTGAAGCAGGGCCTGGCCGACGAGATCAAGAACGGCGACAAGGAGAGCGCCTTCCAGAGGTTCGAGGTTCGAGGTTTTCGGGCGGTTCCGTCGGGGTTAGGCGGCTTTCCAGCCTCGGGACGCCTTCCAGCGGCTGCGCCTCGCTGGGAACGTTCCAGGGGTGCCCGGATCGTCCCGAGCCCGCCAGGGAGCCGAGTCATGATCCGAACACCCCAGGGGTTGGACAGACCCTGAGATCTGGGCGCTGGATTTTTTTTCATATCTGGCGATTTCGCACGGTTTCTGTTCCTGGGGCCACCACGTATAGGTCCAGCTCTACAGGTGCCGCATAAAGGTGGAGTTCGGGGCTCCAGTCATTTGTTCCCCCCCTTACCTTCGTATTGCGACGGCCTTACGGCCGGTGCCGCCGACCCTGAGAACGACGAAGATGAACACGAGGGGGTGGGGGGCAGGGGGAGGAGGACGAGTGGGAGGTGGAGGAAGGGTGGAGGATGTGGATGAGGGAGGAGGAGGGGGGAGAAGGATATGGAGGAGAAGCAAGAGGAGGAGAAGGAGGCAGATGAGAGCAGGAGGTGGGGGAGCAGAGGGGGGGAGGAGGAGGAGGAGGAGGAGGAGGAGGAGGAGGAGGAGGAGGAGGAGGAGGAGGAGGAGGAGGAGGAAGAGGAGGAGGCCAGAGGCATTCTTGGGACAGCCTGGGGCTCTCTTGAGGCCGTCTTGGGCCGTCCAGGGCTCCTCTTGCGCCGTCTCGAGGTACTCTTGGAGGCCTCCTGGGCAATTTGGGACTCTCCTGGGCTGTCTTGGGGCAGTTTTGGGGTCCTTGGGAGCCTCTTGGGGCCTCTTGGGGCTTCTTGGGGCTTCTTCGGGGCCTCTTGGGGGCCTCTTGGGTCTGAGAGCTCGAAATGTCGATTCGGGTCCCCTGTCTGGGCAATCTCCTGGAGCCGTCTCGGGGTCTCTTGGGCCGTCTTGGAGGCGTCTTGGGCCGTCTTGGGGCCCTCTTCGGCCGTGAGGGGGCCATTTTGGGGGCCTCTTGGGCCGTCTCGGGGCGATCTTGGGGGCCTTGGGCCGTCTTGGCGCGTCGGGAAGCGGAAGAGGCAAGAGCGCCAAAATCTTTCAAACACGTATGGGAAATCCGTGAATTTTGCCTTTTGGGGCTCTCGTGGGAAAACTCTCCGCAGAAAGGTGGGGTTCGGGGCTCCAGTCGCGGCTTTTTTTTCTAAACGTCGCATTTTTACCTGACAGCGAAGACTGATAGGTTTCTAGTAGCGTCAAAAGAGAGCATCAGGACTCCCCAGGGGGGTCTGGGCAGATGCCGGACGGGTGCCCCCGGAATCCTGGGACTCCTTTTTTAGCCAACAGTAACGCACTTCGTGGTCTTCGAGTTCCCAGAGCTCCATTCCTGGGCATGATTTTGAATGCCCGGAGCCAACTGTAGGCCACTTCGTGTTCTTCGAGTTCCCAGAACTCCATTCCTGGGCATGAATTTGAATGCCCAGAGCCAACTGTAGGCCACTTCGTGGTCTTCGAGTTCCCAGAACTCCATTCTTGGGTATGATTTTGAATGCCCGGAGCCAACTGTAGGCCACTTCGTGGTCTTCGAGTTCCCAGAACTCCATTCCTGGGCATGATTTTGAATGCCCGGAGCCAACTGTAGGCCACTTCGTGTTCTTCGAGTTCCCAAAACTCCATTCCCTGGACACATTTTGAATGTTGCGGCAGGCTGATGCTGAGGCTGAGGCAGGCTGAGGCTGAGGCAGCTGAGGCCTGAGGCGAGGCTGAGGCAGACTGAGGCTGAGGCTGAAGCAGGCTGAGGCTGAGGCTGAGGCAGGCTGAGGCTGAGGCTGAGGCAGGCTGATGCTGAGGCAGGCTGAGGCTGAGGCTGAGGCTGATGCAGGCTGAGGCTGAGGCAGGCTGAGGCTGAGGCCGAGGCTGAAGGCAGACTGAGGCTGAGGCTGAAGCAGGCTGAGGCTGAGGCTGAGGCAGGCTGAGGCTGAGGCTGAGGCAGGCTGATGCTGAGGCAGGCTGAGGCTGAGGCTGAGGCTGATGCAGGCTGAGGCTGAGGCAGG